GAGCGACGAAGGGGGGGGAGGGGGGGGGAGGGACCAGACGGTTTGAAGCCAATTGTTTGAGAGAGAATATATAAGAGAATAGTTTTTTTTAGGATTTGGCTATATAGTTCCAATTATTGGGGCTATCTTTTGCCAAATCTATATCTATCTATGATTAAAAGCAGGGAAAAAAAACCTCTTATGAAGCCAAGTGGCATAATCCTAAACTGACACTTGGCACATTCAGACATGGCTCCAACTTATTAGGAAGTACACTTAGGAAGTTCAATTTTATTTTGATAAGGATTGTTCTTAGATTTTATTTACTGAAAAATAGCTTCAAAACCGTTCAAATCAAAACCGGTCAACCTTCCCTTCAAATTTCTGAATTTTTAATTGTTTAAAATTATTAAATGAACGGGGGGGGGGGGGGGTAGGGGGGGGGGGTACCGGTTCAAACTTCCCTTCATATATCTGAATTTATAATTTTTTAAAATTTTAATTAAATGAACGTGGGGGAAAATTTTACTCCACAATTTTAGGTAAAAACTTTTTACCTAAAACTAACCCTAAATTGTCTCTGCTAAATCACGATACGCTCAACTGTGTAACCCACGATTTACTATACTGGGTAGCAACTGATCAAAACTGCAAATATATATTTCTTCCACAACTTCACCTGCTTCAATTCTACTGTTCGTTTTTCTATCAAGATTTCAAGAAAACTTACGTCTTATGCAAAAGATGGCTACTCACATTGATTTCATCAAGGATATAACAATTTCAAAGATGCAATGGAAGTTGAAAGTTCGGGTTGTCCGTATGTGGGAAATACCGGATCGTTTTAATCCAGGCACTATATTCTCAATTGAATTGGTTGTACAAGATGAAAAGGTATTTTAAATATGTTATTGGCTTGCTAATTCATTATTGGTCTTCCAAATTTCAATATCATTATAGATAGATTTGATTTGCTCTTCGAAATTGTTATATGAATATTTGGTTTACTTGCAAGTGTAAAACAAGTTTATTGCCAATGTTGACCACCTGGACATCTGTAAAAACATTCTTACATAGCAGCTCAACTGTATATATACACACAGTAGGTGGACTTCACTGGATTTATTCGAAAGCATGACTTCTGTTTTCATGTTGTTCTGCTAAGGCATGTTGTCATCACATACATAGAACATTAAGCTATAAAGACTATTGGTTTATACAAAGGTTGTCTGAAAAAATTACATAACTGATGTCGACTACCTTTATTTTAAGAATGCAAAATCTAAGAATGCAGAATATAAGTTGCAGAATATAAGAATGCACAATATACATAGATTTCGACTACAAAGAATGCAGAATATAGATTTTGTATAGTTGCAAGTGTTAAACAAGTTTATTGTCAATCTTCACCACCTTGACATCTCTATAAACTTTCTAGGAATTAGCAGCCCAACTGTATATATACACACAGTAGTATATATGTAAGTAATTCAAATAATCCATCATGGAGTTGAAGATGATGTAACATATATATCCATCATGCTCTCTTCCTCAGCAGATTTGCATCTATCCTGCTAATTCAATTACTATGGTACTAATTGTGTCAATTCTCTGTTTCTATTTTGTATTGGTCCTCAAAACAGGTGTAGCAAAGAATGCAGAATATAGATTTTGTATAGTTTCAAGTGTTAAACATGTTTATTGCCAATCTCACCACCTTGACATCTCTATAAACTTTCTAGGAATTAGGAGCCCAACTGTATATATACACACAGTAGTATATATGTGAGTAATTCAAATAATCCATCATGGAGTTGAAGATGATGTAACAAATATATCCATCATGCTCTCTTCCTCAGCAGATTTGCATCTATCTTGCTAATTCAATTACTATTGTACTAACTGTGTCAATTCTCCGTTTCTCTGTTTTGTATTGGTCCTCAAAACAGGTGTTTAAATATAAAAAGGGGACAAAAGGGTTTTAAAAACAGTTTTTTGAATAGCAAAAAACAGTTTAACTTGCAAATCTGGATTTTTTTCTCTAAATAATTTGTTATTTATTGTTCTTTGTAGGGCGATCGTATACATGCTTCTATTGGCAAGTCAGTTTTGCATCTTTTCAACACAAAAATTAATGAGCTTGGATTATATCTTATGGCGAACTTTATCGTTTGACAATACAAGAAGAGGTTCAACACCACAAAACATAGATTGATGTTGACGTTTACTCAACGGACAACAGTGGCTGAAACAATTGATCCACTTTTCCCAATGAATATCTTTGATCTGCGACCATATCATCAATTGATAAATAAAGTTGATGTTAACGAGAGTGAATTATTTGATAATAATTGTTTTTTACCTTAATTTATTTTTACATGTTTTTTTTTAAATTGTTTTTTTCGTTAAATGCTAATAGTTTGATGCTACCTATTTTAACATCTTTATTTTTAATAGATTGATGCTACTTATTTTTAATTGCTTTTTTTTCCTTTAGATGTTATCGGAGAAATTGTCAATTTTAGTGAGGTACGCACGCAAAAACAAGGTGAAATTTCTAGGAAGTTTATGGATATCGAACTAGAAGATGATGAGTAAGAATAAACAAACAACCATGGATTAATGATATATTTTTTAAATACATATTCTAAAAATTATACCCTATTTCTATTTGACAGGAGGAACAAGTTATCTGCTACATTCTGGGGCGAATTTGTTGATCAAGTTATACCTCACCTTTTAACTTCTAACAACCAGCCTGTTATTGTTGTTATGCAGCTCATAAAAGCCCATAAATTTCAAGGTAACATGCAACTATTCCATTTGACATTACTTTGTTAAAGTTATTCATTACATGTTACACATAATTCTTTTTTTGCAGATTCATATTCTGTGCGCAACACTTGGAATACATCAAAGTTGTGGATTAATCCTACTTTTCCTCAATCTGACGAGTTTAAAACACGGTTAAATATATTTTAATCATATATCTACACTCATATCTATCTTTTGATGTATAGTTCTAACTGCAATCCTCATTTATAAATATAGATTACTTTCTGTTCGGGATAGTTGCTCTGAGAGGCTGACTCAAACCATCTCTCAGCAAAGTTACTCTGTTTCGGATGAGTTAGAGAAGGGCATTGCTGAAGTTAAAATAATTGCCCAATTAGTGGAGTCCGTGCAAGTGAGTTAACTCTTTTTATCTTCTTTCTTTGAATTTTCAGAAGACCATCTTTTCTATTTGTTTTCTTCTGATATTTCAGCCATTGGTTCTCCTATTTGACTGCATTAAAATGTCATTAAACATTTAGAAAATGATGAGTTTTTATATGATAGGTACTCCATCTGCATAAATATGTAGAGTTGAAATAATGTAAGTTGTTATAATATTGGATGGAACACATGCCAGATATGTTTATTCACTGAAATCGTTGGGCCTGATGTTAGTTTCTTTCTACATATTAATGCACAAAAGGGAAATATAGTAACCACTCTTATCATATTGAAAATGTACTTCAAACTTAATATGTTACTAAAATAACACTATCCTTAAACACGAACTCTTATACTTATGGAGATTCAGCTATGTTTCATATTTCATACTTAACATATATGAAATATGAAAACTCTACAAGAGGGCCTAAATTCACAGATCCTCCAACAAAAAAAACCTCCAAGGTCAGTATGTTGACCTCTTGGCATTCTTAAGAGTAGCAGCTTTAGCAGTAGACTTAAGTTGGGTGGCGCGATTAAACAAACTTTTAGGTTTAAGAGCCTTTCATCTCTTAAAGACAGTCCAGGCAGTCCCAACAGCGTGCCTTGCCATGTCAATCCCTTTGATTGCCACTTCTGCTGCCTCTTACTATATATTACTATATGGTACACAAAGAGGCCAAATCTGCAGAAGTGAAAATTCAGTCAACAAAGGCCAAATTATGTATTAAGGCACAGAAAGTGGTATCAACTATCATAAGATCAAGTGTTGTATTTATTCATTATCATTGAATTTGGATACCTGATATTCCATAAGAACACACTTAAGTACTGAACTTGCTATAAATTAAATAGATCCGTCATGAAAAAGTTAAATATTATGAGTTTATGAGCATTGTTCGATGGAAACACAAACAGATAGTATAGGTTGGTCTGCCCCTGCTCCACATTTTGTGAAATCTTCCCCTTCCGTTTTACATACAATATATTCTACTTTTCTTCGGCACTTACTCCATGCAAATCTATGCATGTCATACTTTATATGTTCACCTCTCAGATGACATATTGGTTGGCAACCATAATTTTTGTAATATAAAGTATGCAAATTATATATTATTAGTTTTTTTTTGCATATATACGCTCTCTCTATACGTCACGATTTAAAGTTTAATCATTTTATTAAACAGGAAGGTCCCTGTTGGATTGTCGCAAGTATAGAAATTTTAGAACTTGGAAAAGGATGGTCGTATGTCAGTTGCAAGAAGTGTCAAAAGAAGGTGGATAAAGTAGGAAACATTTATCAATGCCCAAACCCCAAATGCAAAAATGAAGATTACTCAGCAGTTATTAGGTAAAAGCAGCAACTCTATTTCCTTAATCCATCAAAAATGTACATTTATATCTCAAATGTTTCCTGTGCAATTAGGTACAAGCTTCAGGTTAGGGTAATGGATACTACTGGATCTGTTTTCCTATTGCTCTGGGACCGTGAAGCCATNGAAGGATTTGTTGAGGTATGTCAACTAATTATATTCATATTATTTATTTGGAAAATTCTAACGCAAAATTTCATTCTAGAATACTGGCGTTGTTGATAAGTATCCTTATCCAGTAGAGCTGAATAATGTTCTCCAAAGAAAATTCATGTTTAAGGTTATTGTGAAGAGCTCGAACATTCAATTGCAACAGGAAGTTTATAGTGTTGTTAAGCCTACGGATGATGAGCAACTGATAAGGAAATATAGTCCTGACCCACCTTCATTTGACTTAACTGTATGTCATATTTGCTTACAAACTTCATAATATATTTACATTGCAAATTTCTTTTAAACAGCATTATTTGTATCATAATTTCACACTCATTTATTTATTATTTTGTGACAGGACCCAGACTTCAATAATAATCAAGACTTTGATGGAGAGAAGGAATGCGAGGTAAATACATCACCATTTTTAATTGGCCATTTAAAATGACATAGACTTATATATCTGCAAGGATACGTTTCTGAATATAATTTCAGATCTGGAGATTTTTTTATACCTTTAAAATTTGTGAATGCTCACTTTTTCTATTCTATATGAAGCTGCAAACTCATTATTAATATTTATTAACATTATTGATTCTTCTAAATGAATTTTATTCTGGATATAAACTAATAAAGCTCTAGCAATTATAAATTCAGTAATTATTTTCACAATGGTTTGTATTTTATATATGCAGGATTCTACTGAAGAGAACGAGTTAATTGATATTGCAAAAACACCTACCAAGATAAGTTTAACTAACGCCGCAACAGTGGTTAAAGAAGATCCAAATACACAGTTGTCAGGAAATAAAATCAAGAGAGTATTTAAGAAGAAGAAAACAGCATAATGTGTTAGTAAATGTAACACATGGAGAAACCAAGAACTGTCTTATTAGTCTTATTAGTAGTTTTATTAGTAATGAACATTGTATTTTAATCATTTCAAGTTATTTATTCTCTTTCACTTTTCTGTTTTACTTAGTTTACACATTTTATACTTATGGACAACATATTTGAAGCTTTTCATGTTTCTTTTCTGGTAGTAAAGTCTGCCTATTCAACTGTGTATACTGTTTCTGGATGTACATTAATATTTTATCTCATTTCCCGATGTCAACGTATAAATAGTATAGAATGAAAATGAATTAGATCATGCTACTTCCAATAAAATTTTCAGGTTCTGCAATTTTTTTATTTCAATGACACTCATCTTATGGATGCATACAGGAATATTACAAGTACTCTCTTTATTTTTTTATAAAGATGGATTATAGTGATGACGTTCAAGGTTTATTTTTATCTTTCATTCTTGAATCGTTTATTCAACAACCTTGACGCGATCAATTAGCTCATCTGATATGCCATGGTTAACAAGGTGCATGACACCCCATTCCATAGCTGCTTTCTTCAACTCTTGGTGGCATTTCTCTCGAAGTTCCTTGTCCTTTGAGTCGATTTCTTTCAGATCAATCGTCGGCACTTGAGGTCCTTCATCTTTCTTCTCTTCCTCAAAGATGTTCCCTATGCCATTTAACTCTTCTTGTGGCCTCACATACTCTTTAGGGATGGCCTGAATTTCACTTTTAGCCAAGCTTTCAACTATTGAAGGAGTTGGAAATGTTGCACTCATCACCACCAACTCTTAATGGCTATTATCTCCCACTGAAACAGAGAAGATAGAACTGTTTTTACTCACTCCTTATGAATCGTTTATTCTCGATGAGATTTTAGAGATTACGTAATTCTTTACAGGTTCAACTGCACAAGTCTCCATTTAGTAAAATCATTATCAACTGCTTCTCATGATAAATGTGTTAACAAGAAAGCCTGTTATTTAGGGACTTGAAATGTATTATATATCAAAGAACTGTTACTTACGATATTAAATTGAAGCATTTAAATGATTATTGCATTTTTCACCCATTTATAACAATTTTTTCTTCGACTGTGCGCATGAGTGTCTGTATATATATATCCTTTCTAGCAAATTATCTCATACTTGCTCTTATTATTGACGAAACCAAAAAGATAATGTTCACGTTTTCATAATGAGTTTAAAATTACCCTCAGGTTTGTATGCCGTTAGTCATCAAGGAAGCAACAAAATCTTTTCGGGACAATCACAGGGGCTAATATTTTACCAACAGTCTAAAGAAGAACAAAATTGCTAAATTTCAAATAATATATAAATAAATTAGACTATTCTCCCATGTTTAAACGCAATTGATTTGAAAGGATATATGAAAAACACCTATTAGTAGAAGTTAATGTTAACAAATATCTGATAAAGCAGAAGGTGAATTATCGATGTGGAAAAATACAATACTGTGATTTATACTAAATATATAATTAATTAAAAGAATTACGATGAATTAAAAATTTGACATTAACAGCGAAAAAGAGGCGCCCTATATGCCCCTGTTTCATCAACTGCAGCAAACACACGCCTTTACAACTTCTTAGCCCTAAGACAGTTTCTACTCAATTTGACATGGAAGAAGAGAAAAAACTCGCAAGAAAAAATAGGATCAACATACGGAAGCAGAAACGGACGAAAATTTGTTCAGATAATAATGGTATGAACTTATATCCACTCTTTTGCAGATTTGCCTTACTGCTGCTTACACACTCTGTGCTCAATGCTTCCAAATACTATATTTCGTAACTACTCTTCTGTTATATAAGATTTTTGTTCGGCTAATTGCCTTTGAATTCGTGGTTAAGCATTACCCTGTTAAAGCTGAATTGTGCGCTTTGCTTTGTATAATAACTGTATTTGTTACTATTGTTATATTTTAAATCAAAGTCTGAAGCATGTTTTATGAAGGAATCGTATCTTACACTTTGGAAAAAGCAAACTGAATGTTTCCTGATAAAGTTATGATAAATTTTACCAATTAGTAAAATATGAATTACATAAATGCGAACTGGTACTTCTTCATGCCTATTACCAAGGCAATCTTGAATTTATGTTTTAAATAATGTACCCAGTCAAGACTGTTTTGGTTCACTTTCTCTAATCTTGATTCCAGAATAATGTATTGTTAGCAAGATGTTTTATGTGCTTTATTACGTTCCAATATGAACTGCACATAAAACAATTACACGGCTGAATGGTTATAACACGTTATCATATTGATATTATGTGTACGATGGCCCATATTTATTCATGGGATGCCTGATATATAATCGGCATATTTCTATCAGAATAATGGTAGTGCTAGACCATGCTTTTTTCAAAATAATGGTACACCTTTGTTTTAAATTTGATAATGTGTTTTGGAAGTTAACATCCTTGAAGATTTTTGGGATTTAATATCAGTGCAATTTACTTTAGTACCAACTGTTGACATTTAACATCCTTGCCCTTTAGTTGCAAGAACAGAAAACATATTCTACCAAATTCCTATTCTACAGAAACTAACATAGACATGAGATTTACACAAGTCATGGGTGAGAGAGATCGGACATTACAACTACACTATCGATTTATCCTTCTTTCTTCTGTTTTATGTTTTCATTATGTTGTTAACAAGTATTATAACTGTTCAACTGTAGATTATTTGTTGAATTTGTTGATGAGATTTTCAAATAGATTATGGGATAGTAAATCATTATTGTTTACTAAACCCATCCGTTTGTCTTCTTTGTCCTTATGATCTGCCTTTGTAAATTGCTTTTTTCTCCTCTTTTTATTTTTCCTGTTTCTTTGTTAGCCAAATATTTAATGCTAACATTGTGCCCAGCAATGTAAAAACAATTCATTTTGTTCTTTATTAATGGATCCAACTTATGTAAACTCACCATTCTTCATTTATATTTTCCTTGAATCATTTTGAAATCTTTAACTTCTGGCTTTGTATTATATATCGTTCGTGGTTATAGTTGATTTGTGTTTGTACCTGCTTGCTTATTCTACCCATAATTCCTGATTAAATCATTAAGTTTCTTTATCCTACCTTGATTTGTACTTTGCAGAACCTACGCTTTGTAACTTTAAGATTTTAGTTACCTGATTTCTATGTTTTATGGTTTACAGAGTTTATTTGTCCTGCTACTATCACAGGGGATGCATTTGGAAAAGAAAAGGCAACACGACCTTTAACAGACATAACAAACCGTCAACATTTCACACGATTACATTCTACACCTTTAGAGAGATGTGCACACGCTTCATCGTCTCAATCTCAGGCAGAATATCCAAATTTAATTCGACAGAAACATTTGCAATTTGGTTTGTCAACTTCAAAAGCGCAGACAAATTATCTTCTACCAGATTTAAATGAGCTACCCCTACTGCAAGGTTGTTATTATAAATACAATTATTAATATAAGATGAATCGTTTATTTATACTAACGACATTTTATTATGAATTATTATTAGAAATTGAGGATGTCAATATTGATGGTGATGTACCAGGTATGTTTTTAATGAATTTATTTTTTTTCTATTAAATTACACAAATAAACTACATTTATACTAATATTCAAAATAATGGTACCTTGGTTAATTAATTAACGTAATAATACGTGCAAAAATTCGCAAAAAATAATGATGCAACTGAAGATGAAGACGACTATGAAGGTATGTCTATCTTAACACAAACAATTATTCATTCATGTCCCCCTTTTCAATTTACATGGCACTTAATATGATTTTAATACTATTTTGAGCCTGATGTTGGATATGCAATTATTGACAATGAAGGTATGCATATTTATTTTTTCTATATGTATATACAATAAGTAGGCTTAGCATAACATAACGCCTTTACATTAATCTTACATTTGCTTATTTTATTCATAGAGTACTGGGATATAGGCAATCCTACATATGAATGTGAATATTGTGGTGCTTACGTCTGGTACGAAGAAAGAATCAACAAGACAATCAAAGCTAAAAAACCAGAGTTTTCTTTGTGTTGTAATCATGGAAAGATACGCCTCCCAAAGCCAAAAAAACCTCCCACAATTTTAAAAGACTTATTATTCGGATCAGGTAACAAGAAAATCTACTTTTACCATACTTCAATACTGTCTTCAATATATAAATAAATATTGCTTGACAAATAAAAAATTTTTTGTAGGTCCAAAAAGTAACCATTTCAGAGAAAATATTAGAAGTTATAACTCAATGTTTTCATTTACGTCAATGGGAGGAAAAGTTGATGCTTCTGTCAACCACACAAAGGGGCCAAGAACATTCAAATTATCTGGACAAAACTATCATCAAATCGGGAGTTTGTTGCACCCCGAAGGATCCACCCCCAAGTTTGCACAATTATATATATATATGACACAGAAAATGAAGTTGAGAATAGAATTCATGCACTGGGGTTAGTATTCAATTATTCCAAATTTATATATGCATGAATAATCTAAAAAAAAACATACATCAATTTTTTAAAACCTATTTTTATGCAGTCGTGGTGAAATAATAAGCCAACTACATGCTGAAATTGTTCAAGATCTGAAACAAATGCTTGATGAGTATAATGTTTTGACAAAGTCATTTAGAATGGTCAGAGACAAATTTCAGGAAGATACTCACTCCAATTTTAGACTCAGATTGATAGGAAAACGGAACTATGATGAAAGAAGATACAACTTACCAACAATTTCAAAGGTTGCTACTTTGGTAGTTGGAGATTTTGATGTATCTAGATGTGACAGAGACATCATCGTTGAAACCCAATCTGGACATCTACAAAGGATAAATGAGTTGAATGCTGCCTATTTAGGTCTTCAGTATCCTTTATTGTTTCTATTTGGTGAAGATGGTTATAGGGAAGACATTCCTTTAAATGGAACTGATGAATCAACTGGAGGAAGGCATTTTGTTAGCATG